CAACGTAGTTGAACTCGGCCAGTCTCTGCTTCTGAGAGAAAATCATCGTGATACAAGCCATTTGTTAATTGATATTTATACAGTCTAGATGCTTTAGCTTATATCAGTTCAAGATAAATACCACCCACATAGATGAGTTATTTCTCTTGGTTACTGCAAATAAATTCAAATCATTCGTTTTCCTCAACAATAAACATCAATATAAAATTATGTTAATTACATTTTCAAATAAACATGACAGTAAAAATGAAACCAAAAAAAAACAAACATAATTGATTAATGAAAAGATGATGGAACTGAAATTAAAAAAAGTAAAATTCAAATTATACTACTGAAAGTCTTCCGTGTTGATCAGCTTTCTAATAACTTATCGTGATGATTTCTGAAAATCTTTTCATTAGTTCTCATCACGGACTACAACTAATGAATATACGTGACTTGTGGAGTTCGATTATATTAGAGTATAAAAATTGTAAATTTTTCTCAACTTCATTCTTACGTAATTAAAGTATGTTGTTTGTGGGAGATCAATAAAATTTATTAAGAAAGACATTTTTCATAATAGAGTTATTGCTAAAATCATGAATTGTTCATTGTTAGACCATAATTAGAAACCTGGAAGCGCTGGACTCCTCAGCAGTAAGCATACACGAATCCCAGTACCCTTAGGATTCGAACCCAGCAACTTCGGTCTTGTGTCCGGACGCCTAACCTCTGGTTCACAATGTACTCACTAGTGACTGGTTCTGTGGAAAAGCTTCTTCGAGTTCTAATGAGAAGTCGTGACCGGTGGAGTTCAACCCTACTCGTGTGTCAAGGAGTGATCACCAGAGAGAAACAGTGGATGACGTTGAGCAAGACCGTAGATTCATCGAAGTTACACATTTATACCACTGGATGAAGGCCAACTTAGGAGTCCATAGGTTAATCGTTTGCGTACAATACCGAAGGTCCTGGGTTTGAAATCTGCAAGTAGCAAGATTTGTGGGTGCAGACTACAGATGACTCTTAAACCAGGACGAAACGGCCGTCCAGTGATTTCAGTTTTCTAATGGCGGCCTAACAGTGATTGATTCAAGATTTCAGTAAGAAACGCATTACGAGAAAACTCTCACCATAGTTCGACGGAAGACAGTATTTTACAATATAGCCTCAGTGACAGCCTCAAATTAAGATGGGATTTTTGGATGTGACAACAATTTAGTTGCTATTATAAAGTTAGTTGCATTGTTAGCGAAATTTCCCTAAACATTTGTATTAGTAGTTTGAATGTTCTCATTGACAGTTTGAACTGTAATTGATTAGTCTCGTCTGATATATGTAGTGGATCACCTTGATATAGCTACTAGTCGTAAGCATTGTAACCAGAGATGGATAATGTTTAGAAGTGAACTCCAAGACTTATGTTCCATCCTATTTGAGATTCTCTTAAGTTTGGATGTTAACCCCGGGGACTTAAAATCAGCATGCTACTAATCTTGATGCTCTTAAAATAAGCTAGTGTCCGTTTCATGATTTCTCTGCACGTCATTTTATGGACATAGTTACATAAGATGCTTCTTCTCAGTGACCCAACATTTTAATGACTGTCTCCGATCATATCATCATCCGAATTAGCCAAAATGAAAATTCTTGTCAAAAATGTTATATTCGATAGTAGCAAAGTATCTGAAATTCCAGTTTACTTAGATTCAGCAATGGTTCTTATCATTTTGACTGATCATTTTCATTTGCTATAAAATCTGTCAATATTAATAATTTCTAAAATATCATATAGTTTTTTTTGTGAATGTCACTTAGTAATTTCTTTTTACGAAATCATCAAAAAACACACAAACAGGAAAACCGGGAACACAATTCATTACATCACGGCATTGTATTTAGTCCAGATAGACATATTGATCTGTTTGATTAATTGGTTATTTGTGTCATGTATGTAATTAATGTTAGACCGCTATTAGAAACCTGGAAGCATTGGACGGCCGTTACGTCTTGGTATGGGACTCATCAGCAGTACGCATCCATCACTCATGCTACTTGAAAGAATCGAACTCACAAAGTGAATTATTTATAATTCAAGGTTATATGATCAAGACAGAAGACAAAAAGGAAGAAGAAAACATTTTATGCTCAGAAAAACCTCACATTCTGTCTCTTTCTACGTTTTTATTTTCATTCATCTAACATAGTAATATTATTTTCCTCTTATTATCAAGACAGACCAATAATAAGTAATGCATTAATGTGATTCTAACACATAGTTTCAATATTCTTATTGTTAAAGTAACATGTGATATAACATTCATGAAATAACATAAGAATAAGTGCTACAAGTGAATGAACAATGGAGTCCCAAGAGTTTTTTTTTAATTTCCAATGTTAGTGTTCAATACTCGACAACTATCAACAAACACCAAAGTTACCATTTTCAATACAAATATTAAGACAGTTCTACTGTATTGGGTGGAAACTTGGAAAACTACTAAAGTCATCATACTGAAGATACGAGTATTTATTAACAGTTATCTATGCAAAGTACTTCGGGTCCGTTGACCAATTACTATCAGAAACAACCTACTGCGTGAGAGAACAAATGAGATTCCACTGGAGGAAGAAATCAAGAAGAAATACTGGAGGTGGATAGGACACACATTAGGGAAAGCATCCAGTTACCTCACATGACAATTCTCTCACAAGGAAAAGATGAAGACCATGGAACACATTAACCATAATAATGTAGACAGACATGAGTAAAATGAACCAAGATTGGACAAAACTGGAAAGGAATTCTAGGGACAGAGGAGGTTGCCTATGCTCAATTGAAAGTAACAAGCATAAGCAAGTGAGTAAAGTATATACATACATATATAAATCTTATTGTCATTATTGTGCAGAATTGCTATTGTTCAGTCTGTTCTTCATATACACGGACCCTGGACAAATGTGTCTTGATATTTTTATGAAGTTTTAATTAATCTGTTGTGAATACAATCTACCATTTTATTGATCTTTCATTTCGCTTCAATTGAGCGTTAGCGTAGAAAATAATTCCCAAACATTACTGACCATCGCACAGTAGGTCAGCAGATTATTCTCTATATAACACTGTCTATGTATTCATTTAATGACAATCATAAAAAAAGTCTTTTAAAAACAGTTTAATTTATGTAGATTTCAAAAGAATCTAAAAATACAACTCTGTATTCTCCAACTTATACTTTTTAAAGAGACATTCAAACATTCCCCATACTTCCAGTTATTGCCACGATTATAAGTAATGTGATATATATATATATAACTCCCTCAGGAGAACCTTCGGGGCTACTGCCGGTCCCAAGCAAGAATAAAGAAGGAGAGTTGTGCATGGTGTTGACGACCCCATCCCACCAAAAAAACTAACTTGCCGAAAAAACGCTAACCAGAAAAAATAATTCAAACCATTTTAACTCTGCCCTGGGAGTTGCAAGAAGAAGTATGGTGTCGAGTGACGGATGCCGAGTTCCCTCGGAAGTCACGGGGCCGATGCCTCTTCTGACAACCAGAGCAACCATTTTTTTAGGTACATGGAACGTTCGTACATTGTGGGAGACTGGAAGACCATTTCAAATTGCGGCAGAAATGAAAAGATACAACCTTGAGGTGCTCGGCATCAGTGAAACGCATTAGACACAGTTAGGACAACTGAGACTAGCTTCAGGGGAACTGCTGTTATACTCTGGCCATAAAGAGGAAAATGCTTCACATACACAAGGAGTTGCACTGATGCTGTCCTATATATATATATTCTCAGTATTTTTTGACATTTAAAGTTAGTCACGATTATAAAAGATGGTTATTCATTGATTTGGCTATTACTGACAAAGATTAAACATTTAATGAGATTGCATAATTTCTCATTGATTACTTCATCAAATAAGTTTGTTTTGATAAGAGACATTTGTCGGATCTCGGATTCTACTAACCACACGCTTGACTAGCACTTTCAACTTTCAGTCAGTGGTTGAGTTTCTGTTAGCTTATAATATTACTCTAGCTTCTGTTTACCTTAGCCTTAAGTTTAGAAATAAGTAAAATTATTTTTCTCCAATGATTCACTGTACTTCTGGCAGTTGAATTAAAGAACAAGCCAAAATAACACATCTTTTTAGTGAAGGGATGTGCAACGTCAACCCTGTCGGGTGTAGGCAGTAACTACCAAAGACGAATGGGTGAGGTCATGCAAAATCCCCAGATCAATCAGAGTTAGACATTAACACCGTTGGATGCCGGTCCAGTGGTCCGATGGTTAAGCGTTCGCGCATAATACCGAAGGTCCTGGGTTCAAATCCTGCGAGGAGCAGGAGTCGTGGGTGCGCACTGCCACTGATGAGTCCCATGCACCAGGATGAAACGACCGTCCAGTGCTTCCAGGTTTCTAATGGTGGTCTAACAATGATTGATTGATTGATGATTTCAAATGTGTAAAAACACAAACCTCCAAAACTCTGCCCCAAAAGTATTTGATTACTGTTACTGACATTTTGTGTTCACAGAATAATACACCAAGCTCGTCAAATAGTTTTTTATTTTAAAAAACAATTTTATTTTCTAAATCAAATAATTGTCATTTGATAGGTTAACATGATTCACGGAACAAACTTTGCTTGCAAAAAATCCTGATTGGTTGAAACCATTCAACCAATCATTATGTGTAGATTTATGTAACAATTTATTTATTTATTAATTCCCGCATAATCTAAAAAATAATCAAAGTAAACATCTTATGACGATTTGTATATTTGTTTGTTTTTTTTTGCTGGCATAAATATCAATTTGTGTGGATATTTCATTTTTCCAAAGAACATAAACAAATAAAATCTATGAGATATATTCACCAATATATAAATATATATATAGAAAAATCAAATAACCGCGGAATTTTATCATGATATATTATTTTCATCAAATTATTACTAATAAATAATTAATAATAATAAATATTATTGTGAAAATAATTTCTAATGAACAATAATATTCTCAGTACTACAACTGTTACTACTACTACTACTCATTATACTACTTATATAACTAATCATCAACTTACTGTACATAACAATAATAATAATAATAACAATCATACATTAAACTTTACAAATACACATTTATTACATTTGGATAAACGTTATTGGTGTTTATGCTTGATGACTTTTTCAATCGCGACATTATTTGGTAATTCATTAGTAGTATTAAGTGTTATACGTGAACGTTCACTAAGAAATGCAACAAATTGGTTTATAGTTAGTTTAGCTATAGCTGATATTAGTTTAGCAATTCTAGTTATGCCATTGGCTACATGGTTAGAAGTAAGTGTTCATTGATTTTTGTTTGTTTGATTGTTAATAATTTAAGATTTTATTAAATTGAAATTATTATTATTATTATTATTATTAGTATTTATACAGATGTTTAATTTTTCTCATTGTTACTACTACTACTACTACTACTACTACTACTACTACTACTACTAGTGTTTCTCACATGATTGATAAGTCTATAGGAAAAAATAATAATCATATAAAAAGATTATCAGTAGTTAGAGAGTAGATGTTGACTACATTCTACTAAATTATTTTATCAATCAATCTATAATAGATTAGTTTTATGATTAGCTGTTTTTTTTTCTCTGAAGAGTCCTAATCTGTGATTGTTTTTTTTTTATAACTTATTAAGTAGTATGTATAGACAATGTGAATTAGTAGTCTTTTTTTTTTCTTTTCCAATAAAATAGAAATCCATTTTCAATTTGAATGATTTTGATGATGTAAGGCACTTATTGATTGATTTATCTGGGATTGGAATAAGTAACTTAGTAAATGTCTACCTAAGAGCTGGTTAATGCTTACTCAGGTATCTATTGCTAACAGTGCACAAACGATCAGAGATTGTTTTGAGTGGCTGGTACGCATTCTACTTGAAACTGATCAAAATAAAATTTATCAAACAGATTTATATTCTGTATGTATATATATATATATGTACTTTTCTTTTTGTAAAAATCAATAATATTTGATGACTGTTGAAATTATATGTTGGGGACGATAGATCCCCAGAACGCACTTGTTAAAGGTTCTATTTCTGAGTTTTATTTATGGGCTAATCAGTTGTCCTTGAGATTACATTTCCCACTTGGAAAACCATTCACTGTCATTGGTTGATGTATTATTTTAGTACGCTATTTTTGTGGCTCTCCCAAGGATGTTTCTATGATGTATAATTAAAGTCGAAACGTGTGTGTACTTGTTGACTTCATATTTTCTGGGTGCTTGTAGAATACGCTTTTTAGGCGTTGTCATGAGTTATTCAGTTAGACGAGGCGACAGATATAGAGTAGACTATCTTGTCACTGGTTCATTGTCTTAGCTCTCGTTTACCGACTAAGGTGAACTCGTAATAGTTCAAGCATTAAAACTGACTAGTCATAACATTATATTCAAAAATTACATGAATATCATTCAAGAAATCATTGAAAAACGAAAGTGAACTATGGCATTATCTTTAATTTACTTTGAACATATTGTGCTAAATAAAGCAATTATTTTGTTTCGTTGTTAAAAAAAACCAAACTGTTGTTGAAATTATACAGTCGATCAATATTAGACTCCCATTAGAAAAATCTAGAAGTAATAGACGATTGTTTTGTCTGAGTATGGAACTCATCAGCTGTGCGCATACATGATGCTTGCTACTCATACAGAATGTTGTTTTTGAATGGTTTGAAATAAAAAATTACCCAATTCGATCAGCCAATGATTATGAATTAAACATTTTAAATGCAGCGAAATACTTAAAATAGGTAACTACTCAAAGTCAGTCATCTAGCCAGTTATGTAAATAAAAATCACATCACTTTTTCAATTAGAGTTATGGAGATCAGTTTTTTTTACACGATGAACTCAACAGTCAATACTGAGGTTGGGCATTCCCGCGCAAGACCGAAGGTCCTGGGTTCGAATCCTGCGAGGTATGGCAATCATGGACGAGTACTGCTGATGAGTCCCAATCCAGGACGTATCGGCCGTCCAGTGCCTCCAGGTTTCTAACAGTGGTCTAACAATCATTGATTGATGACTTCAATAAGTAAAAATCACTAGATGAGCAGTAGTTCATTGCTTACAAATAATTATCGAGGTTATTGAGTAAAATTGTGAATTCATCATTTATAGTAAAAAAAATGAATAATTGTAATCTCTAACTGTTATATAAAAAATGTTGTAAATAGAAAAAGCTAATTTTTCCAATTTCGTTATTACTAACTTCATTGATTAGATGATGAGTTAGTGGGAACGCTGAATATTTGTGCATTATTTGAAAAGAGAAACAGTTATGTTTTTGACTGCAGTAAAACAGCGTTTACCATTGTCAACTCTATTCTACTAAATAAGAACACTATATTCAGTTTTACATGGAAATTAATTACGTATCGATGTATCATCTGATAGTTAGTTGGTTATTTACTGAAGTTAAACAACAATTTAACACTGTCATAAGCCAATAAAAATGTTAGTTTTTCAAATCCATGAGACTAAACTGGATATTCATTTGATTGTATACCACAATGAGTTCAAATTTAAACACTCCCACAACTGTGAAAGTGTGCATTCTCATTTATCGATGCTAAGTGATTTTAACCAATCGAATTTTATGATGAAGGTCAACTTTTTGATGTCTAAGGTAATCCAATGGCTTTTATTCAATGTTTAATTTGTGAGTGTCACTTCAGATTTTTGTGCATTTTTCTTCTTACTTAACGGATAAGAGTATAGTTTGTACTAAAGATCTTAATTCGAGCACTTAAACAGCACTCTATTTGTATTTTTCAACTCGTAAATCGTTTGTTCTACTACAGTAATGTGTTTACAACAGACATATGTGAATATCTTCAAATGTTTAAGATAACATCCGCAATGAAATACGTACTATTTTCAATGCAGCACTCACTTATTAGATGAATGGTTATTTTTTCTCGTTTACGTTTTCTTAGCGATTTAGTTTTCTACGGGAGGGGGTTGCTAATTCTAATGCTCTATCCTCCTCCTTTATCTGAGCTTGGGATCGGCAGTAGCCCAAGAACAGCTGCAGGTGGAGTTTCTTAGTTCATTACAGAATAATTATAAGTCACTACTTTTTTCATGATTGAGGAGTCCCATACCAGGAAGACACGGCCGTCCAGTGCTTCCAGGTTTCTAATGGTGGTCTAACATTGATCAATTCATGGCTTCAAAAATGTGTAACTTAACAACCTTCACAACCCCCTAATGCAAATTACCTATGCTCACTAGTGACTAGCTTCGTGAGGAATCTTCTCCGAGTTCTAGTGGGAAGACGTGACCAGTGAAGTTCAACCTGTTCGTGTGTAGGCAGTGTCTACCGAAGACTGTGTATGAGGTCGCTCAACTCCGTGAATTTGATCAAGTTAAACATTAACACCGTTGATGGTGGTCCAATACTGATCGATTCATGGTTTCAAAAATGTGTAAATATATACTTTACATTTCAATCCCTATCTAAATAAATTGGACATAAGCCAATTTTTACAAGTTTAAATTATTTAAAACTAGAGTCTTGTTCAATCAGTAACAAACTAAGTAACGTCTACTTTTTTCAAAAATTTAAAATAACCATAATATTTAAAAATAATAATTTTCATTTACACACCTCATAATATAGTGAATTATTTTTAAAGCACTGTTCATCAATGCGCATCGTGCATTATGTAAAGTCTTCGAAATCCAAGTAACCTATATTTTTAGATATCAAACTTCATTAAAACATTGTTTATTAAAATATTTCACATATAAAAACAGTCAAACAGATAAAATGAAACACATTAGACGACATGTAATTCAATTGTGAATATGATACACCGTATAAAACAACTCTCAGTATTTCGACTTGTTTACTGAATTGGTGTAATGCGTCTAATGGTTTGTTAGTTAATTAAATTTCTCATCATTGTTTTGACACATTGAAATTATGAATGAATCACTGTTAGATCATTAACAAAAAAAGTTGGAACCATTAGAAGGCTGTTTCGGCCTGATATGGGACTCATCAGCATGGTATATTCACGATGTCAGCTCTCGGAATTGAACCAATAACCCTCAGACTGGCACGTAAACGCCTAAACTTCGAACCACTGAGTTGGCATCCAATGGTGTTAATGTCTAAAACTCTGATAAATTTAAGGAATTTTGAGCAACTTGATCCATTACCTTCGGTAATTATCGCTTACACTAGACAGGGTTGAACTCCACTGATCACATGTTATTTTATTTACTGAGTTATTGTAATGCGATTGGAATTTGTAAACATTTTTTAGAAATTCACACTTATTCATAAAACTATGTATTTATTAGATCATTCGCATCAGAAAAAAAATACTTTTTAATTTTTGAAATATTTAATGACTACTTAAGAATCAAAGTAATAACTATTTATTTTCGAAAAAAAAATTTACTTAATGTTCATTCTTGTAATTTTGAATGTTTTTTAAAAAAAAAATATTAACTTTGTTCAGTCTATAAAAATCAATATAAAAATTTCCAAGAAATTAGATGAATATAGTTATTCGTTATGATGAATTTCCGAGGAAATTGTAATTCTTGGTAAGGTTCGGAATAATATCACTTAACCTCACAATCTGATAAGATACTATTGATTTATTCAACTAGCATATGTGAAGTGCCAACCAATGTGAAAGCTAGTTTCATATGTTTACTCTTGATTAACTCTAACAAAGTAATATCACAATATAGCAAATATAATATGACAAGTGAAACAAACTAGTAGTCACAGTAAAACTTTGTCGACAGAGTTTGACTAACACTGAAGACGAGATCGATATAGTATTAGTTAGTAGTTATTGATCAATGAAAGTAATTTAAACACATCTATAACGCGTCAAAAGACTTTAATCAATTCAATAAGCTAAACATCATCATGATTCTGCTTGCTCCCTAATAGTCGCATCATTTAAAACTACTCATATTTTTACAAGAAAAAAGAACATGATGATCGGGAACCAATTTCAAGTAACCACATTTCTAATATTTGGATTCATTTCAAATCCTCAATCAATTTAACAGAACTTTAAGAGGTTTTTGGTTCACAAATCTCCGAAAATCATATAATCTGCAATAATAATATACCCTTATTCTGTTCAAATTTAAGCTAATATACATTTAGGTATAAATCAAAACTATAAATAATTCAACTTTGAATATTTGAACTAACAGTGTAGTTTGGATAAAATATATTTTGACTTATTTTTACTGCCATTGTGAATCGATCAATGTTAGATTACTATTAGAAAGAAACCTAGAAGCAATGGAATGCTGTTTCGTCGTGGTATGGAACTTATCAGCAGTGTGCATCCACAGTGCCCGCTTGCGAGAATCGAACCTATGAACTTCGGTCTCGCAAGTGAAGTCTGTAACTCTATACCAGTGAGTCAGCATCCAATGGTGTTACTGAGTAGCTTTGGTCAATCCAAGTTATTGCTCAACCTCACCCGTTGTCTTCGGCCAGTAAGTGCCTACATTTGA